GACTTATTGTGGTGTGAGCTTAAATGTACGCGGGTGTCATTTGTAATAATAGCAAGTATTCTAACACCGATGAAAAAACATTAAGTTTGATTTGACTGAAACTCCTCTCTCTCCATTGAAATAATGTTGACTTTATTGCTTCACACAGCCATCCAATCTTGTAATTCCTTCCTATTTCAATTATACACACATGCGTGAATCTCAAATCGCAAATGATATAAATGAAAGTATTGGTAATGTTTATGAAATGACCTTACCCCTCTGAGATTAAGTCCCCATCATTCCTTCGAAACCTACAAACATCGCCGTGTGACCCAAACATCTTCCTAACCGGGATCTTCGAATTCATATTATCAACTTGCGATGATATATTTTTATATATTTTTCTGCCATGTCAACTTCTAAGGTCATTAGCAGGGTATTCAAAGAAATGGCATCAAAGGTCATAAGGCGATAGGGTAAAGTATAGTAGCTGAAAGGGTTAGGAATGAGTTAATGATTAAGGTTAAGTTACAGATCGTAGTGAAAATGAAGAGACGGGGAGCTGATGGGGCATAGCATAAGGTAGAGATTGTTAGAAGCGGAAGGAGTTGAGGGAGTAGGGAGCATTAAAATAAAGTATTGTGGTGAAAAGGGAAAAAAAATAGTTTAACGATTAGGATAAGTGGACAGAACAAGGGGATAAGAAAGAGGAAAAGGAAATGAGAAGAAAAGACCATGCAAAATTAGTTGAGGCAAGGGCTGAGGACCAATGCAGGGTGATCCCTTACATTGGGCCCCAGTCCCTGTCTCCTATGCCCCCAAGACAACAACGAGCAAGGGATTCGGGGAGGGGGGGAGTCTTGCGAAAGTTGTAACATCGATAAAAAGTCTAATTTTCCGCCATTCTGTCATCTGTTAGTTCTTAAAATGGACACCGCGTAACATTAAAATTCTAATACAGAATACAGAACTAATAATTAAATAAATGAATAAACAAATAGAATCACCTTTATGCTATGTATACTAATCCGTTTACCTTTTGCTCATGTCCCTTGCGGTTTTTGCACGTCACTATGAAGAGTCCCAAGGCGATAAGTTGTAATGCAGTCTACGGAGTCTCTACTGTTTACACTTGGATCAATAATCAGAAGTCTGGACTGGGTTTTCGTCGCTTCGGAGCCTTACACGAAGCAGCTTCAATATTTCTCGAAAATGTGAAATCGCGGATCACATGGAATGCTGAAGTATGATACAATGTTTCCTTTGTGATATTTGTAAGGTTTCCGTTTCATTTCTTGACGTCCAAGTGCAATGTTTCTGATTTCTGATCTCCGTAGACCATTAAATTCTTTGTTAACATAATGGCAAATTATAATGTATATTTATTTTTACTTACGTGTTTCCCAAGAGACTTTTTCCGTTTAAAATCGGTAGCGTGTCCGAAACTTGTTTATATATATATATATATATATATATATATATATATATATATATATATATATATATATATATATATCTGTGTGTGTGTGTGTGTGTGTGTTTGTATATGTATGTGTGTGAATATATATATATATTTATATATATATATATATATATATATATATATATATATATATATATATATATATATATATTTATATATATATATATATTTATATATTTATATTTATACATACACACACACACACACACACACACACACACACACACACACACACACACACACACACACACACACACATATATATATATATATATATATATATATATATATGCATATCCATATAAATATTATTTATTATCTTATTATTATGATCATTATCATTGTTACTGATATTATCACAGTATCATTATTATTATCATTATATTTGTTATTGCATGACTTCTCTTGTGTTATTACATTGTAAACTTCTGCAGTATTATTACCAGTAATGTCATTAACCTTATTACTATCGTTACACATCTGCTTTAAAAGCTGTTAATGTAATTCAGAATTCAGAATCTTTATTATTGCAGATGTTAATGTTTTCATTTTTATCAGTATTAATGTTATAATAGTTATCATGCCTACTATTTTTATTGCCAAACTGTTAATATTTTGTCATCTTTATTATTATCATTATTATCATCACCATCACTTTCATCACTGTATTGTTGTTGTTGTTATTATTATTATTATTATTATTAGTGTTGTTGTTATTATTATTATTGTTATTATTATTGTAGGTATTATTATTATTATCATTATCATCATTGTTGTTATCGTTGCTGCCGTTGTTTGTTGTTGTTGCAATTATCCTCCTCCTCATTATTATTATTATTATTATTATTATTATTGTTATTATTATTATCATTATCATCATCATCATTATCAATCATCATTTTAATTTTGTTATAATTATTATTATTATCATTGTTATTGTTATTATTATCATATTGATATTATTACTATCATTGTCATTATTATTGTTATCATAAATATTCTTACTATCATTGTTATTGTCATTGTCATTTTCATTATTATCATTATCATTACTATTATTATTATTATTATCATTGCTATTACTATTATTGCTATTATCATCATTATCATTATCATCATCATCAATCATCAGTTATAATTAGTATCATTATCATTATTACCATTATCGTCATCATCATCGTCATTATCATCTTTATTATCATTGACGCTGGTATTGTCATAATTATATATTTATTATTGTTCCTATCATTATTCTTATTATCATCATTTTCATTTATTTCTTGTTATTGGAGCCAGTATAATAATCACCGTATTTAGCATCATTATTGTTACTATCATTGGGTTCGTCGTCAATATTATTATCATCATCGACGTCGTCATTATCATTATTTTCCCCATCACTTCCAAAAGTATCAGTTTTATGTATTATTAATGTCTATACTTCCATTTTGGTCACAGATGCAAAATGGAATCGAACAAGTAATGCAGATTGTTCACTTAAGATATATTTGTTCACTATTTACATTTGTTCAGTCAGTTAAGGAATGTTTATTCACTAAATAAGGAATGTTTATTGTGGTGGTGGAAATAAGGGCTTCATTAAGGGAAAAAATCATTTAATTAGGGAATACCTGTTTCCCGATTAAGGAATTCTTATTCACATCGCAGACTAATTTTATACATTTATATTGAAAGAACTGTTAATATAGATGATCGCTATCTTAGATTAAGTAAAAGAACATAAAAATATTGCAAAAGTACTAGTGCGTTTTTTTTTTTAGATTTGTAATAGAGACCATGATTTACACCTGCATGATGCTATTGAAGTGTGAGGGTTCACGACTTTGTAGGCCTACTGAGGGAATTATCCTTTGCCCTCCAGATATTGTTTATTTTAACCAGCTGAGATGTTTCCAGTGTTGATTCTGTTTAAGTGTATAACAGATGCTACCTTACGATGTGTTTAATTAGTATAGTAAAAATATATGATTTATATTTCAGCATCCGTTGCTCTGTCTTATACATTTGATGGTATTACCATTTTATTACATCTTTTCTCGCTGCTAGTTTCCATTCTATTACTTAAGCGTTCTCTTTTTCTCCCTCTTTCTTTTGTAACTCCAGTCATGTAATTAGGGGACATTTATTGTACAACTAAGCGTATTGAGGTAAACAAAAGGAGTGTGAGTGAAATTTTACATATGTTCCGGCGGTATGTCAGTATGCAGTAAGATTTTTCTCGTTGACATGTCTGCTACGTTCGATCGCTTGGTAAGTCCCAGTTCCCTAACCTGTTTATCCAGAGGTTATATTGACCAAAAAAAGTCAGCTTCACTATTGGTTCTCGGTGGAAAAATAACATCTTAAATACTATCTTTAATATTCACTTTATAATCATATTGTAGTTTTATGCAATATGCAGCTATGTAGACAACTGCTCTGTAACACTGCACCTCGCTGCTATCATTCATGCAGGCTGTAGGCAGGGGTGTTATTCCAGTTTTTCCTTGGGGGCAAGGCTAGGGAGTGAAGCGAGCACAATTAGTTTCTGGGGCGCCCACTCTCCCCCCCCCCCTTTTTTTTTTGCAAATCCAGGAACATTTTGAAGTTACGACCTATGAACTATGAAGGTGTAATATAGACAAAAAACATCGTGGGAGTGTGGCCATTGGGGTGGGGTGGGTGGCAATCAGAGTCTTGGGGAGATTGCTCCCCTAGGCCCCCCCCCACCAGTGGCGCCCCTGACTGTGGGACATATTTCAATATTTCACCACAAAAACGTATAAAATCAAGGAAGCACTGATGGTAGTCGGCCAGTCAAACGCCACTCACTGGAGAGCTTACTCTCTTTGACTTTGCCTGCACCCATAAGTGTTTAAGGCCTTTTTTGTCTCAGTTGCGAAAGATATCGTCGCTCTTCATGGGTTTGGAGGCTGTTTTAGTGCCAGGGGGAGGGAATACAATTGGAATTATAAACCCGTTTTATTTTCCTTTTTATCAACAAACTCTAATATTAAAGTATATATATATATATATATATATATATATATATATATATATATATATGTGTGTGTGTGTGTGTGTGTGTGTGTGTGTGTGTGTGTGTGTGTGTGTGCGTGTGCGTGTGCGTGTGCGTGTGCGTGTGCGTGTGCGTGTGTGTGTGTGTGTGCATAATTTTAAAGCAATTCATACTAACAGTTGAACTTCATTATATGTCCGACAGGGTTGCACAGAAAAAAATATGGAAAATAAAATTGGAAGACACGACCGCTCATTTGCCATACCGTAACGACATCTGATCAATCAGAAAAAAAGACGAAATGGTGAACGCCAGATTTTGATTTTTCCATATGTAAAAACAAGGCGACTAAAAACTGAATTAGACTTGCCTCTCATCTCGCAGGGGGGGTAAGCATGAAATCATAGAAAATGGAAACTTAAGGAAAGATTTAACCCGTTGATACTGCCCTTATTTTTGGTCATATAGGGTGTAAATATATTTAGAGATTTATACATATAAACTATTAGATAGTCTTTATGCAACATTGTTCTCCTGAACTTCAACATATATTGATCCCTTAGCTCTGAACAACTGCAGGAAATATAAACTTCAATGAAAATGTACCCTCTGCTGGCGCCATCTCTTGATTCTTAATTGAGTTGATCTTTACTATTCCCTGTCTTCTTTTTCATTTTGACTGCGCATGTGTTGCCACTCAATATTATTGTTACTTTTTTATTTCGCATACAGTTAATCAAAGTCGCGTTATACAAATATCTAATGTATCGCAAAGCCTACATTCATATGATTACGGTGCCTACCTTGTATGATCGATTACACTTCGTTTGTGTAAAGGGTAACCACAGTATATTTTCTGACTGTACAACTATACTACACATCTTTTGTACCATTCACTAGAATATTCTGACACACTAGTACGACCAACTTAAAAAGCTATTTGACACACGAATTCCAAAGAGAAGGATGTGTGTGTACCAATCTGCACTGTGAAATTCCACTCTTTTCATATATACAGGATGTAATA